GGCAGCTGTTGCTGATGAGGCGCGGACAGCTGCCCGTAGGGAGCCCCCCCACACATCACGGGCTGCTGTTGCTGGTGCAGCTGCTGCTGCGGCGGCAAGTTCGGTGGCTGCATTGCAGCTGGGGAAGTTGCTTTGTGAAGGTCAAGGGCGGTTGCTTCTCCTGTCGATGCTGCTGCTCGTGCTGTTGTTGCCGCCAGGCCGGGCTAGTAGCTCCGCAAGCATCGCCAGGCCGTCGTGCTAACCAGATTCTACACCCTGGACCCAAGACCTAGACCCTACAGCCTAAGCTGTGGTCTAGGGTCTAGGGCTTCGGGCTGTGCTCCGCGGCTGCTCTAAACCCGCAGTTGTTAGCCCCTCGGTTTTGTTGAAGGCAACGGTGAGCCCACGCGCTGCTGAATTGTAGCAAGGCAGCACAAGCAGGTGCAATGAAAAACGGAAATCAAAGGAAAAGGAAATGCAGGGAATTAACCTGGGCGAATTAAAGAAGACAAAGGCGGGGGTTCCCTGCAAACTGCATAGGGACCCCACACACCAGAGCGGTCAGTGCCTACAGTCTAAGGTTTCGCGCTAAGGCTTTAGCGCTACACGTTTGGAATTTGAAAATAAAAACCGCTGGAGAAGTATTCCGCACACGGCTCAAAAGGGCAACTAAGCGCAGTGGGGTTATGGGGCTGTGTTCAATGAGGGGTGGAGCCAAGGTTTACAGCTAAGGGTTTACACGTTATGCGCCAGAGCTTCGGGTTTATGCCATAAAATTTAAAATTTTGGCCTATTTATTTTGTTTTCTGCAGCAATAGTAACGCTGGTGAGCCGTGCGGTGAGACTTACTGGCTAGACGCCAAATTCCCGGATTCCGTCGTATCTCTCTCGCTGGTGTACCTTGCTACCGGCATACCTGAGCCGACTAATTGATACTTCACTGTATGTGCTCCTACGTAACTCTTTGAAATCCAGCAACTCCGATGTCACTGCCTATTAATTAGGCTGTCTGCATGGTCCTCCCCGTTCCTTAAAGGGGCCCTTCAAAAGTTCACAAGGTAAACTAATTCAATATGGCCAAGACAGTTCTTCCAGAACAGGCAAACTCGTGACATTTGCGTTATCAGAGGTAGGGGACACCTTTGAGGCTTTGTTTGGAACCGCTGCTTACTTGCTCTCAACATCTGTCGCTTCTGGCACTATCTCCAGGACTGCGGGAGAACACAGTAGCTTCGCCGCCCTGCCGCTGAAGCTCACCTTACGATACTTCCTGAAGTTGCGAACTCTAGCTTCAGCTTCTACATAGGGCTGGGCAAAAGCATCCAAAGCACGGATTGAGGCGTTCTCACTTATGTGTAAGGCCTGTGCCTAGGTGTGGCTGTCCACACCGGAAATTCTCGCAGGCCATGAATAGACGAAGTAGCCCTGGATACAGAAGTGCCTTGTTGCGTAAATCACTTTCAACAGCCCGGACAGCCGCCGGCTATTCCATTTATGTCGCTCGGCAAGCGGCACTTGGACTGTGGTTGGCGCACCGTACCCTGCGGGTGCGGCTATTGTTGTTTGAGGATTTCCAGGCGCTGAAGATAAGAGCAAGCCGTATCTTGAGTAAGCGCATACAAAGTACTAGCCTGGGGCCTTACCCTTTCGGAAGATGTCATAAGGAAGTCCAGAAGAAAGGAATTTGTTGGAGGTGCAAACTTTAGTTGCAGCTTCAAAGGAAAATAAAGCAAGGTCTGACGCTAGAAAGCAAATTCTTTCTACTGAAACGAGTGGCAGCCTGCAAAAATTTAGCCTTAAACGTACCCAGCCAAAGGTTGCCTCAGGTTTAACTCTGTTATCTACAAGTCACTCTTTGTAAGGATCCCCGCTCAGTACATCGATTTTATCTTGACAGCGGAATCTTGTTGCAGAATCTCCACTTCAGATAAACTCATGCGGGCAAAGTCTGTTTCACTCCAGAGGTCGATTCCCTCTTCTGCTTTGTATCCTTCCGCCTCAATTCTCTGGGCTCCCAGTGCCAATTTCGCACGTTTGTTTCGCGTATTATCTCCCCTTCAACTCTTTATTCTCCATGCATTTTAACCTTGCTGCGCTTTTGTACTTGTTCGTTCCACGAGTGGAGCTCGCTTTCTCGCATACAGATAAAGCCTTCTTTAGCTGCGCATGAATTCGCTGGTGATTATGCATATAGTAGGTTCTTCTTCATGTACTGTGTACGTTTGCACATTTTCATGAACACGCAGTCCGTCTACACACTGCTCGCCCACTCATATTACAGATTTTTGAATGCCCGCTATTTCATTAATATGGAGACTTGGAAAGTATGATGCATTTGCTGCCCCAACTGCAAATTGATTGTCCTTTCTAGATACGCTATTTTCCTGCGAACCCATTGATTTAGGCACTCAACTCTTCAATAGTCTTGCCTGTTCACTTGTTTATCTTGAAAAAATTTCAGCAGCGAAAAGTCAAGCAGCAAAAGTTGTGTAACGAAAAAAGCTGCTGCCGCAGCAGCTTCTACTGTAGAAGCTCTGCCGTTGTTGCTGGAAGCGATGCTGGAGCTGCCGCTGTTGCGGCGGCAGCAGCAGTACGTGCTTCAAGGGCTGGCAGGGAAAGCGCATTGCACTTTTGAAGCCGCAGAAAAGCGGCTGTTGCAGAAGTTACTGCTGATGCTGCTGCCGCCGCAAAATTTGTTTAAGTACCGACACAAAAGACAGGCCTGTAGATTTAGCCAAAAATAGAATTCGTCCATATTCAAATCAACATGTACTTGCTGGCATACGGATACATGAGCGAGATCATGTAAACGCATGCGGAAGCATATTCATGTACGTACACATACATGTACACCCATGGAATTACATGCACACCTATATTCCCACACATGCATGCATGCATGTATACATGAATACGTACTTGCAGATTTTCGTACACGCGCATAAACAAGCATACATAAAATGCGTAAACGCACACAGACACACGGTGTACAGCATGTACTATGTAAATAAACATGCATGCATGCTAATACGTACGCACGCAAGCTCATGAATACTTCCACATCCAACTACAAAAATATACACGCGCATGAACAAATGTGTACATTCACGTTTTGTAAGTGATTTGTATATCTGCGCACAGAAACATATATGCATGTATGACAGAAATATGTGTAATGCATAAGCAATTTTCTGTATATTTGTGCGTAGGTTAAAAGGTACGAATAAGCATTGCTGCATTTTCCCACGCACATAAAGCTCCACCTACATATACTTGGCTTCAGGTAGCTGTTCATACATAGCATACACGCACGTACATCGTTTTCACAAACGTGCATAATGCAGGTATTTATATTGCGGGTAAATGCACACGTGCGTGCTGCTGTAGAGTACAAACATATGCACGCACATGTACACGAACACACACCGTGTATGTAAATACACTCCATCTGCGCAGCTGCGTACAGTGCGCGTGTGCAGATATACATTCATGTGCACCTGCATCTGATGCAGGAAATGCCGAAGCTTTTTCAGCAAGTACACGCAGGAGCGCATACAACAAGGGACCGTTGATCAAATATATACATAGATTCGTAAAGAGTGTGTACATTTTTGACATGTACTTGTTTGCAGGAATGCACGAATAGCATGGCATTGTGAGTGTGTACACACAATGCCATGCGCGTAAATACATACACATTATGTATAGTCTTGCTCCACGCACATTGTCTGCACACTCCTCCACTTATTACCTTATATGTATTCGTTCATCCGCGCACGCACACATACGCGACATTGGTCACTCGCGTACTGTTCACTTCGTTTAAGTAGTTTTTTGCACCTGCACATATTAACAGATGAACACGCCTTTCTTACCTTTGCAGTTTCCCGCAAATCTGCATACATACATGTTTTGGCCATGCTCACAAGGTTACATGCATGCACACCTACACATTTATCCGTTCATTCATGCGTACGTAAGCATCCGTATGTACAAATAATATATACGCATTCACTTACATGGTCCGCATTATGCACATTCGTGTACGCGCACACATGCACGTACAGACAGAAATAAGAATAAATGCGTCTATATAGCATACGGCTTCCCATGAATGTATAGGTGTACTAATCCGAATTCAAATAATCGAATGGTCACACCTACATGTACGTGCACGCAACGAACGACAAGAGCAAAAGCAGATGGGCGACAACGCAATGCAGAGAATGAGCGAGCGCATGGCACTAGCAGAATTCAACCAACCGAAAACAAAGAAAATAGCAGCCTGCTGGTATACTGGGTGGCAAGAATCAGCCCTCAGATAAGCCGCAACAACCTCAAGCGGTGCTGCCGTCATTACTAATGGGCCCCTTGTGCAGACAAAAATGGGAGCGCAGGGGTTCTGGCAATTGGGTTCTGTCGCCTTCTGTGATTTTGCATTGATACATTACTCATGTTTCTTGTAACTTCATCAGCCCTTTGCGTTGGTGTTTTCATAGTCATGAGGGTTCATCAATTTATTACTTTTTCTCCCGTGTATCTTCATCTTTGTGTTTCCCTTCGTGTTGTTATACGTTTGACTGCATGTTAGAGTTTGTCTCTATGTTTGTGTTCTTGCTTGTATTTGCTTTCCCTCTCCAATTTCGTGTTCGTCCTTCTCCACCCGTTCCTCGTTTTGTTTGCCCTCTTCGTCTCCCTCGTCGTCTTCTTTCTTGTCCTTGCATTTTTGATGCCTCCGTGCATATTTTATTCTCATTGGCATGTTGATTCGCATGCTCGTGTCTTTCCGTCCTCAAACTTTGTGTTTGCCTGCGCCAATCTTCATAGCCTGGGCCATTGCCTTTGAGTTTGATTTTTTTCTTATACTTTTATGTGCCTACATTTTCGTGTGTATGCTTATATTTATGCTTAGCTTTGTTCTTCGTTCTGTCCTTGCTTTCATTTCTTTCTATTTATCCGTCTCCGTGCCCATGCTTGTCTTTCTCTGCAGCTTTTCCTTTTCCTTCTGTCTCTGCTCGTCTTTATCTGTGCTTTTGTTTGTGTTTTCCCGTGTGTTTCGTCTTCTCTTTGCCTCCAGCCTGGATGTTTTTGTCTGTTTCTCTGCCTTCACTTCCACCTTTAGTCTCATCCCCTTGTTCACTTTCAGTTCTACTTTCTGCATCTTTTGCTTCTCTTGTTTCCTTGCCTGTTGGTTCTTCTTCTACCTTATTTAGTGTCCTAATCGATGATCTGCCGAACAGCCCGAGCCCTATCCTGCGTGTCCTCACGTTCTTCCTTTCTAGACTCTGCGTTTGTAATTGATCAGCATCTGGAAGGGTCTTCTTGTTGCCACGTCTTTCTCTGCCTAACGAACCATGCCCAAATGGAATGTGCAACAAAGACCAACGACGACGACGCTGGTCCGACGGTTCCTGAGGTCCCCATTGCTGGCGATTAGTCCACTGGTCGGCAGGACTGGAGGAAGTCCCTTCCTCCCACACCTTCTGCGAGCTCCCAGCGTTGCTCTCATCAGTACTAATGCCTGACACCTCTTCTTCATCATGCAGATCCTTCAGGTCCTTCTGATGCTTTCGTGATCCCCCCAGAGCCCAAGAGATACCGAAGTCTATAGCTACCGTGTTGTGCCGGCGTGCGGGTTTTTTTCGCTTCTTTTTGTATTCGTCTTTCGGCTCTTTACGAACAGTCTCCACAGAGGATTGCTCTTTCTGCTGCGACTCCCCTGCTTCGCTGCTTATGCTAATTTCCGCTTCTCTTGTTGCTAATAGCGCTTCAGCTGTTCCGCCTGCCGTCTCCTCTTCGGCTTTTGTTGACGCCTGTCCCAAATCATCAAGGATCATCAACTCAAGGACAGACTCCCCATCTGCAACTGCAGGGGTTCCCTTCAGAGTCAGAAGTGAAGAAATCGAACCAAAAAGACCATCTGCCACATCTTCATCTGTGTCTGAGTCCGTGTTTGCGCCAATTCGCATCCTAACCCTTGGTCGTGTTTTGTTTTCACGTTTTTCTGTTTTTTCCTTTTCTGTTTTTTCCTCTTTTCTTTGCTTCTCCGCCTCCTTCCCAGTTTCCTTCTCCGGATTTTTCGTCTCTTCCTCCACTCTTTTTCTGAAGGGCCTGCGAGTCCCAAGAGACCCGTAGAATTGCGTTCCTGGATCAGTAGTGGGAATCTTTGTGGTACGATCGCTGGTTCCCCATGTGTGGGTTCCGAGCTGATCCCCCGCACGGGCCTTCTCTGAAGATTTGTCTGTGGGGCCCCAAGAGTTGACCCTTCTCAGACCAGACGAGCTCCTTCTCTGCGACAAATCAAGGGTGGATTCCTGGTTCACATTCAGCGGAGGAAACAACAGCGGCAGCTGCAGGTCCCCTGACTGGAGAGTGCTCTGCTCCTGATCAGGCTGCTGAGACAATGGAGTCTGCATGTGCAGCTTGCTTTCGGAGTCTTCCATGGAGGACAGCTGACTGATGTACGATTGTAGTTGCGGTTGACCTCTTGTGAGTCTTCTGCGTCTGAAAGAGCCTTTTAATTGCCTGGGTAGGCTGGTGATTGGTTGCGCTCCTGGTGCGGGGCGCAGCAGCAGCGCAGGTAAAGGACTGGAAGACGGCATCACACGAGACCTCGTCATTCCCTCCTGCAATCTGGAGATGGTGGCCTCATCTACATGAAGTCGTTGTAAGTGACGGTACCCTGTTGCAGCCCTTTCTGCAGCTGCTTTCTTTGCCGCAATCGCCGCTGCCATGGCTTTGTCTGCAGCCGCTCGTTTTTGCCCGCCTGCTCGTGTTCTCGCTGCCTCTTTTGCTGCTGCTTTTGCTGTTGCTTCCTGTTCTGCTGCTGCTTCCATCTGACTGAGCCACTGGTCTACCAGTAGATCTGCGGCAGCTCCTACCTCTGCTGCTGCTTCCAAAAAGACTTTCTCAAGCTGATCATGCAGCAAAGCCAAATCAGGATGAGGCTTGTAACATTTAATAAGCACTCCCAGTTCTTCTCTCTGTTGTTTCGTTTCGCTTGCCAACAGAGCCACCTTTTGCATGTGATATAGCAAAAGCTCCTCGGCACCACTGAGGCTAGAACCGCTGGTGCTGCCGGTGCTGCTGCAGCTGCTGCAGCTACTCGTGCTGCTGCTGATGCTGCTGGTTCGATCTGGCAGCGGCCCTGGCCGTGACGCTTCCTCTCCCAATTTCCGTTCCTCCTCCTGCTGCTGCTGCTTTACTTTGGCCTCATCTTCTAGAGCGTCTCGCGCCTTAGCCAAGTCGCTTCTTCCCCCTACTGCCGACTGCTGCAAGAGATGTAAGCTGCTTTCCCAGCGGGGCTCGAGCATGCTCTTGGCCGTACCCATCAGCCCCGTTGCTTCGGTGACTGCCGACTGAAAAGTCGCGCCAGTATCTGTTCCAGAGATAAAAGATGTGTTTATACGTTCGGAGAGGCTCAAGGCATCTGCTGTGAGCTGGTAGGGATTTTCCAAAAGATTCAAATTCCGCTGCTGCTGCGTCCCCGGCGTGGTGCTGCTGCCCGCCTGCTCCAGCTGTTCCAGGACATTCCTGAGCTTTTCAGCAGCTTCCTTAACCTGTCGGCCGTATGCAGAAGCTTCTGCTTCCGTGCAAATAGCCTCTTCTTTCTCACATTTCTGCTTACGATGCTTTCTAAGCGATTGCGTCTGCTGCGCCTGCTGCTGCTGCAGCGACGCTTCCTTTGCGCGAATTCGTATTTCCAGTTGCTTGTAAGAGTGCCTCAGATGTTTGGAGGGGCCGAAGACATTCAGCAGCCGCAGCTGAGAGGACATCTGCTTCGCTGCATGCACTTTTGCATGTGCTGCTTTTAATAATTTCGCGATATCTGATGGCGTGTGCCCTTCCAGGGAGGCCTTGCCAATGGCTGCTTCTGCTTCATTCAGAGAGTGCAGCATACTGTTACTGAGATTAAACAGTGCAAACAGAGCAGGGCTAGCGGGAAACGCAGGTAAAGAAAGAGGTTCTCCCCGCACTGTGCGGGCTGCAGCCAAAGCAGCGACTGCGGATGCTGATGGATTCCCTTCTGATGACACACGCACAGCCAACTCGAGCAGAGCCCACGCTCCTTGCTCTGCAGTGGCACCCACGTCGCGTAGGTTCTGTTGGGCTGCTTCTGCAGCTGCCTCGAGCTCCTGCAGCTGCGGGAGGTCGCTTTCGATATCTCGCTGTAAGGTCAGAGCAGCGGCCGGCAAGGGCTCTCCTGGGGCTACTGCTGCAGTCAATTTCTCCAGTTCTTCTTTATCTTCTTCAAGAGATTCTCGGAACCCCTTAGCTGCTGCTGTCCTTTTTTCAGCATTTCCGATAAGCCGTTCCAGTCGAGTTAATGCATCATTAACACTGGATTGCTCTTGTTCTGTCAGGGTTTTGGCGTCAGAATCAGATATTTTGAGGATGCTTAGCTGCTGCTGCACTTCAGGCGGTAGTTCGCCTGCTGCCGGTTTCGTTTCAGCCGGAGCAGCTTCGGCAGCAGCTAGAGAGGCGCAGCTGTCTTGGCCGTCTGCGGCCAAAGAACGAGCTCCTTCTGAATGACTTGATGAGCGAATTGCGTCCGCACATTTTGCAATCAAAAAAGCCAAGGCGAAAAATACCAAGACGAGGACAGGATCACTTGCCAGTACTTTTCTGACAGGGGATCTGGGTCCAAATTTTCGTCGTGTAAGTGGCTGCTGCGAATCCAAGGGCAGCATAAACGAGCTTGTTGAAAGATCGCTCCTTCCCGGCGACCGGGAAGGAATGCTCAAGGCTGTAAACGTGCTTTGTGCCCGTACATGTTGGGGATCAGTTGCAGAAGTTGCTGCAGCAGCGGCTGTGCGGAAATCCCCAGGAAACAAGAGGGCAAACACCGCTGTAAAGCCGCAGAAAAGATGCATTTTAACCTTTGAAACGCATCTTAACGCACTCAATAAAACTGTAACTGTTCACAAACGGAAGATCTCCACGGTTCGTCGAGGCGGCTCCTCCAAGGATGCCAACCCCACACCGGGGCTGCGCTGATGTTCTTTCCGTTGCCGTTTCAAAGATAAAACAGAACAAATAACCTTTAATATGTGTCTTTGACTATATGTGCACGACTTCTCAGATGAAGAGCCGCAAGAGGTGAGAGCGACCTTGGCTGGAGCTGAGCACTCAGAAGGGAGCGGACCGGTGCGCGGGAGCTGGCGGCACCACCCCTGCAGAACATGTGAACAAGTGGAAACTTGCTTTCCATCAACAACTTCCAAATGAACTTCACTCCGCGCACGTCGCTTGACTGTGTTTAGATAACGCATGTTTCTTGAATAACTACGCAATTATTGGACGAAAACAGGCAAACAACTACGACAGACGAATGCACGGTGAACACGCGGGTAGCTCGCTTTCGTCTGATTCCATCTTTGGGACTGCTTCATCTTCTTTGGAGTTCGTCTTGTAGCCTTTTAGGCCTTCCAATGTGTCGTAAAGTCTGGTTCTGTAGATTCGTGCTCTCTCAATACCACCTGAGCTGCAGCAAAATCTAGGGAGCATTGCATGCGTTCTGCAGAAATACTGGCGGGATCGGAACAATAAATGTCTCCGTATATAATCCTGTGCTTTTAAAAGCAACAATGAAAATTGGGAACACTCAATAGGGGAAAACGCGAGTACGGCTTTCTTCTGGCCTCTACAGCTAGGGTGCATTGTCTCTAATTCGCGTTCGCTGCCCTTCCGCATTGTATCTATGTTTAAAAGCCTCGAGCAAGCTTTTAGGCACCCACGATGCTAAGCGAATGCGTGCCCCCGATGTTACTTTTAGTTTTCTATAACTTGCCCAGCAACAACCCAGTAGAGCCGTTTGGTGGCTCTACCGTGCAAGTGGCCCCAGCGTCCCCGGTTAGTCCACTGAGACCCTCAAATAAAGGTAAAAGAACAGCTGTTCAGGGTTAGAGCTGTATAATCTGTGGTAGCTGGACCAGAATCATGCGTTTTAGAAGGCCACAAGCACTACGATCCTCAGCAGCTGGGATGAAATACGAGGTGCCCACTCGAAAAACAGCTGCTTACGGCATGAAACAGTGACGCCTTGGCACAGTCTAGCATAGAAATGTTGTGGAATGTGAAGCATTTCTTGGGCAGCCACACCAAGAAACTTAAAGTGTCTGCTGCGGTCCTGAGCATCAATTTCCACAGCGCTTGCTCCTCTAGACACCAAAAGCAACGGCTTGTGTACACAATGGGCACTGTTGGCGCTCAAATCGGCATGCATGCTTTTCAAAACCTCCACCGAAACGCCTTAAATTTGGCCACTGTATTGTATTTCGGACACTCTTAAGGAACGGCTAGCACTAGTCGCCGTGTGCAGCCTAATGCTGCAATGGGCCACGGGGTCTCCTTGCCCTGCAAGCCATACTTCGTTATACCAGGCATCCTACGCGCTGACACGGTCTATAAAGGCCTTGAATGTTTTTCATGTCCCTGAGATCATAACACAGCTATGCTTCCTAGCGGAAGCAAGCGACTCCAGAAAGCGTGATACGAACAACTCCACTGCAGTGCAGTCTCATTCCTAAGTTCATAACGTGAGAGGAGCTCAAGCTTCCGCAAGTGCTTTCAGTCAATCGCCATGCCTAGCGCGTGGAATAGTAAGTAAGCTTGTGCCTACTACTAGCTTGCAGTACGTAAGTCTGGCACGGAGACAATGGCCACGCACCACACGGGCGCCTGCCTTTTCGACCATGGTTGCAGTTGGACCCAAGGCTTTCTCTGCCACCCAGAGTCCTACTACGCACGTTACAGGAGAGCTGAAAGGTTGCGACCGTTTTATATAGCTCTCTTTCGCCTGCTCCTCTGCATGCCAACGTGCTCATCTGGCGGGTTCGGCAACTAGAAGGTTCGCCGCAGTACCACGGGTTCGTCGTGTTAGTCTTGCTTACTGAAGTATTGTCTAAGAAGACCTTTTAAAGTAGGGCTGCATAGCTCTGGGCTCCAAGGCTCCGCTTCAGACTCTGCGTGTTGCTGGCCCACTTAAATTCTTGCTCACTTGCATTGTGCTTCGGTCGTTTCGTTTCCTTGGCATCTCTAGTAGCTGCCCGCAGGCTTTTGGAGGTGTTTTTTATAAGATTCAAATGATGTTGCGGAAACGTTGCTTCTGTAACCATAGGAAGCTTATGCTTCCTAAATATGAAAACGCAATGAATGTATCGAGTGAAAGATTTGCCCAGTTATGCCTGTTCATGTACAGTATAAGATGGCTCGCGCGCTCCTAAGCAAAATGAGAATATGTGCATATGCATTCATGCACATGTGCACGAACGCACACGACTCAGCAGTAGCTCGTTCTAGTCTACCAATAAAACCAAAGGGAATACGTAACAATCACAACACACCAAGCAACAGTGGAAAATGCTGCACATGCGAGTCACAATCATAATAAAAAGCACATGCATGCAAGACTTTCGCACAAGTGTACACGCAAAACAAGAACTCGCACAAGGACACTCGAAGATGGACCACACATACTCTGGCTTTGGATACGTTTTTACGATAAAACGTGAACGGCATCTGCTGCTGTTACACAGCGGCTGCCGCGAAAGCTCCGCATGTTGGCGAAGAAGTAAGACAGTGACCAGATGAAATATAAAAACATGCAGTATATGAATGCTGACGGATATATCTCGTGTGTTTTCAAAGCGATAGATCAGTGCATATTCTAGACTAATCAACACTTCAGATTAATCAATGCTTGTGTTGCATTTGACAACACAACATTTCTAGGCCTATTCAGGCTGAAACAACATGCATATTTGCTCCAGAAACGCATGTGATTGCTAGGAAAAATAGACTAGTGAGGGAGGTCACTACTTCCTTTACTCACTGAACAAGTAATTACTTCAATCGAAGGAGTTTCATACAGCACATCATGGTGTGCGTGTACTGGAATGCATACATGCAAACGGGCAACCGTCCACATAAGTCGTGACCAAAAAAAATAAACAATTAATCATTTTAACTGTGTATTCAAATAAGCGTGAATTGGCCACAAGGGAAATCATTGATGAGCTACCTTCCAAATTATCAGATTCAGTGTATCATTAAGCATTGTTGACCAAATTACACTTATCACGTTCCTTAGAGGCGCGTGACTCAAGTGCTCCGTCGACCTAGTCTGAAGATTATAAAACCTACTGACAAATATAAAGCAGAGCGCCATATCTTTGCTGGCGCCTCTGCCTAGGGCTGCTGCCGTTGCTGCCTCAGCCGGTTCCCCGAATCGTTTTCTCTCTTTTTCGCTGTTCCATTACAACCACAACACCTTATGCTTCACATATTGCCCGTGCCCCAGCTGCAGGTCCTGCGGCAGCTCATGCTGGCGGTCCTTCTGCTGTCACTTCGGCCCCCATCGCAATGCCGCTGCTGCCCAGATCCTGCTGCAGGTTTTAGCGATGGCGGGGATCCTTCGACGCTTCATAAAGGGCTGTAAGCGCCTCTCTAGGAACCCCAGCGCTTTGCAGTTTCTTGAGAAGCGTCTTTGCGTTTGTTTGCAACGCCTTGCTTGCCTCCTGCGCGTGTTCTGCCTCCGCTCCATGTTTTGTTGCTGCTGCACTGTCCCCTTCTGATTCCGCTTTCTGCTTCTTTCCTTCGGAAAATGAATGCTGTCGGGACAACTGCGTCACTGCCCGATTCCAGGCCCCTCCTACTGCAAAGACAGCACCAAAGAATTCTTCTTTGGTTTTCTTCAGGACCTCTTCGAGTCGTGCTGCTGCTGTTGAGGGCCTCTCCGGCGCCACAGCCAAGCCAGCAACACGCTGCAGCTGAGTGTGTGCGGCGGTGGCCATCCCTTCTGTTGTTACAAAGACAGAAACAGCACTGAGAAATGTATCCTCAAGTCTTGCCCGCCTCTGCCGCTCTTTTGAAGAAATGGGGGCAGTCGTAGTTATCAGGTCCTCGCATTCCTTCGCTGCAGCAGTGACTTCTCCTGCTGCCCTCAGCAGCTGCTGCTGCAGCCGATCGCTGCGTCCCTCCCACTGAGGATCCAGATACCCTTGCAGCAACTCCACTGCTTTGCGGCAGGTCTGCACAGCGCCGTCAAGTGCACGGCACAACTCCAAGTCTGCATCTTCGCCTTTGCCTTCATGCACTCCTTGCAGCGCCTCTCCATTCTGAATGAAGACTTTCTCAACAGTTTCGATGTCGAGAAGCGCTTCGCCCTGCGACTGAGGCTTCTGGCTTGAAGACCCGTGCATGAGTTGGCCCAGCACGTCCCTCGCGGAGTCAACGCTGCTTTTGAGTTTATCGATAAGCGTCTGAGTTTGCTGCCTGCTGACAGCTGCATCGGCCACGCCTTCCACCCACCGCCGCCGCCGCTGAGACTGCGCAGCACGCTCTTCCTCCTGCCGCTGCTGCTAGCTGCTGCAGCTGCGAAGTTACTAAGGTCAGTTCAAAGAAAAGCGATTTCCACTCTGTCCCAGGTGGAACCAGGTTTTGCACAGCGTGAGACCCCGCGCTCACCTTGCTGGCTTCGCTTATGGTCTTGATTGCTCGCGAAACTTCGCTGCGCAGCTGGTGCCCCAGTGTCTGCTGCTGCCGATACTGCTGGGTTTCCTTTCGCTGCGCCACGAGGTCATTTAGGCGGGCTTTCGAGGATTTCATTTTCTCCCACAAGTAATCATAGAGCCTGGAAGCTGCTGCTGCTTCTTCGGCAGTCGCCTGCAGCTCCAAACCCTCCAAATGCCTTTCCAAAACAACCTCTGCTGCTGCAACAGCAGCAGCAGCAGCAACTGAAATTTGCTGACCTCCACAGGCGTGCTGCAGCCACAAAAGCACCGTGCGCCCATCTTGGTGCGGCGAATATTTCATAGCATCCAACTTCCGCGTAAGATCATCCAGCTTCTCCTTTTCCTCATCGATTTTTCGCCGTTTCGCATCGAAGTTGCCCTGGAGCCGCAGCAGCTGCTGCAAAATAGGGTTGCTGGTGGGTCTTTGCGGCCTTGGTGTTTCCCTCAAAATGGCAAGCTTTTCACTTATTGATTTCTCCTCATTGGCAGCTTTTTCTTGGAGCCGCGAAAGCCGTTCTTGCTGTTCACCCACTTGTCGCCGCAGCGCCGACAAAGTGGAAGAAGCTTCCGATACGTCTTGCTGCAGCTCCTGGGGCAGGCATCCCAGGTCTTTCCTCGAAAGCCGCAGCAGGTTTTGCTGCTGCTGCACGGGGTCCACCTCTGGCTGCTGCAGCTCCTGCATTGCTGCTGCTTCTGCTTGTGAAGGAAAAGGAGGCACAGCAGCAACGCTGTGCCGGGCCAGCAGCAATTCAGCGTCTTGTCTTGCATGCGCTGCTGCTTTCCTCCGCCTTGCGCCTGTTCGTTTGCCTTCTGCAGCTTCTGCTTCATCCCACTTTTTTTCACTTTTGGCAGCAGCTTCTTCGCTGCCTGCTTCTGCCTTTGCCCCCGCCTGCGGCGGCTGCAGCTCCTGCTCCTTTCGCCGCGGCTGGGGCTGCGGCGGGTAACCCCGCTGCACCTCCGCTTCCTGCTGCTGTTGCTGCTGCTGCTGCTGCTGCGGCTGGTGCTGCGGCTGGGGCTGCGGCTGCTGCTGGGGCCGCTGCCGCTGCCGCGGCCGCGGCTGGGGCTGCGGCGGCTGATCGAGCCGCTGCCGCGGCTGGAGCTGCGACGGCTGCTCGAGCCGCTGCC